CTCTCTCTCTCTCTCTCTCTCTCTCTCTCTCTCTCTCTCTCTCTCTCTCTCTCTCTCTCTCTCTCTCTCTCTCTCTCCCCCTCTGTGTGTGTGTGGGTGGGTGGGTGATACAAACACAAATCATCAAAACTTGGCATAAGCTGGTCGTCTGCACTGAACCAACCACGTTATTGAGAGAGATCGAAAGAAATGCCACGCAAGCAGAGCGGGGAGTTCGCAATGACCGGAGCTGAAGAAGCCGGAGGTTAGGTCGCCATCCGGAAGAGGGATGGATAAACCAGGTGCAGACGGATATTGCGGCAGGATGTCGAAAGATGGAGAGTCGAAGGCAAAAAAGGGAGGAGGGGGAGGAGGAGGAGAAAGGATAAGATCGCTGCTAACCTCTTCCGCGCGGAGCTGTTCACCGCTCCTCGCAATTACGGGAGCTGAAGAAACCGGAGCTTAGGCCGCCGCGGGGAAGAGAGATGGATAAAGCAGGTGCAGACGGATATTGCGACAGGATGTCGAAAGATAGAGAGTCGAGGGCAAAACAGGGAGGAGGAGGAGGAGRAGGAGAAAGGATACGATCGCCGCTAACCTCTTTCACGCGGAGATGTTCACCGCTCCTCGCAATTACGGGAGTTGAAGAAGCCGGAGCTCTGGTCGCCATGGGGAAGAGAGATCGGTAAAGCAGGTGCAGATGGATATTGCGAAAGGATGTCAACAGATAAAAGAGCCGAGGGCAAAAGAGGGTGGAGRAGGCGGAGGAGGAGGAGAAAGGAAAAAATCGCGCCTTTCCTCTTTCGAGCGGAGYTCTTCACCACTTCTCGCAAAAACGGGAGCTGAAGAAGCCAGAGATTAGGTCAACATGAGGAAGACAGATGGGCAAAGCAGGTGCAGAAGGATATTGCGACAGGATGTCGAAAGATGGAGAGTCGAGGGCAAAAAAGGGAGGAGGAGGAGGAGGGTGAGGAGGAGAAAGGATAAGATCGRGGCTTACCTCTTTAGCGCAGAGCTGTTCACCGCTCCTTGAACGAAAAGAAGAAGGTTCACCTCTTCGCGGCTTCCAACATCAATCGAGAGCAGCATACTCCTCATTTTCCCCCGCGGACCTCTGTATCTGTGGGTGTGTGTGTGTGTGTGTGTGTGTGTCTGTGTGTGTGTTGTCATATTCGCTTTACACTCAAATAAAGCATGACTGTGCCAGACTGTATCGTCGGACTTTCACCGACTCATCAGAAGCTTGGTGTGTGTGTGTATGTGTGTACGTGTGTATGTGGCAAGCACAGCACCCCACACGCACAAGCACACGGACAGAGACGCACGCACGAACGCGCACAACCGCACCCACGGAAGCATGCACCACGGCCAGCACACGCACGCAAGGCGGTTGGACCTAACAGTACTACCGGTAGTAGGCCTTTTCTACGTCCATCAGGACCGTTGGCCTATTAGTACCGGCCCGATTGCCGCGCTTGATCAAAAAATATTSTAACGATCGAGGCCGTCCGCGCGGTAGGACGCGACGGCCGCGCCGACGGCCTGGATTCGATGTTTGTTGCGTTCTTGCGGCACTGCGGACAGCCCCGACCCAATTTTCCCGCTGCATTATAAAAGGAAGGGAAAATTTTCGAAATGCCCCCAACAATTGCGTTATTTGCGATGTGCCCCTGTGAAGGCCGACTTAGCCTGTGGTGCCCCTCGGGCCTCTGAAATTTTCCGCAGGGCCCTGTCAGCGTGGAACGTAACTTTCCCATAYGCCCTTACTGGACGGCTGGTGGCGTTTCGTCGGAACGTCCTTGAAATGCCCTCGCGAAGGGCATACATCTTTCTGTGATGCTCTTGCAGTAGTGGCGGCAGGAATTCGAATTCAAAGTGGTAGGCATTCCAAGCGCTGCCACGAAAAAGGTGCAGCAGTGAGTCTTCGAGTCCGTCGCGTTGGTGACATGCGAAGGGGAACGTGCGCGCGCGCGTTGTCGGAGGGCGCAATGTCCCGGCCCTCCTCTGCGTACCAAGTCCTCGTTTGGTATCAGTCTCGCTCGATGTCGTGGCCTGTAGGCAAGTTTCCGAACCTCTACGATCTCTAGTACCCGGGTTGTACCCGAACTATACCTTGACGTGGACCGGTCCGGTTGGTGCTTGCCTCAGCAAAAAGGGAGGGTGCACCGCATGGCTTTCCTTTGGTCCACGCAAGCTCAGCACTCTGCTGTGCAGCAGAGCACTACCCGCCTGTGGCCATGGTAGCTGCCGAGTTCGCCCTAGGACGAAAAGTAGAGGGACGCGCGCTGCTTTATCTACTGCGCGCCAAGTACCCCCTTTCCAGGTTATGGGACAGGTCACTGTCAAAAAGAAAAGCTAGATAAGAGAGATAAAAGAAAGCAAAATGTGTGAGGGCGAAAAGGAAAGCTAAGCGTCAGAACTGCACTCAGATCGTGGCCCTTGCTTTATCTGGGATAATCCAGCGATATCAGGTCACTATACCGTTGACTTTTTCTCTTTTTTTTACTATTATTATTGTAACTATTACTATTAACTTTCTGATTTCTCAGGCGCGGCTTCCCCCTTTTGGTTTCTGCCACTTCGAAGAGGAGGTCGACGGTTCAAGTTTGGACTGCGGCTACTGTCTGCCGGCCGAGGCTGGCCCGACCCCTCGGAAGTCGTCTGTGCTAGAGCTGTTTGATTGAGCATCGCGTGGCAGGGCCCCAAAAGAGGGGCGACCCGCGGCCGCACTGGTAGGGAGCCTATCACCCCCCATGGAGGGTCATAAGCCCCGTCCTTGCCATCGGACACGGGTACCCGACGAGGATAGGCTGAAACTGTATTTTAAAAGGGAAAATGTGATCGTTGGTATCCCGTTATGGGACCACCACCTCAGAATTGTAGTAGCCTCAGAGTGAGATGAAGCGACATGGACTGATAGCAGAAGGTCTGTAGATATTGCGGCCGTATGTTCCTTTTTCTTTTTTTTCCTTTTGGTTTTCCTTTGTGTAAAATTCCAATTTTAAAATTATCCTATTACTTTCGAATTTTCACTAAATTTTAAAATTATCCTATTACTTTCGAATTTTCACTAAGTCTCGAAGGCTATCCCGAGCTCCCCGTTCAAAGCACCGGGATCTGGGTATGAGGCAAATTTATAAGAGACGTGAGAGCCTGGCTATTGGGGAGCTGGTTATGGGTGCCCACGGTTTACCTCTTCACCTTGATCTCGCTAGTCTGGTGCCAGAGGGCAGAAGCGAGGGCTAGCGTGAGCCATCCGAGTGCATGCACCTGGAGTTGGTACCTTGGCTATTCTGAGCGTGGCTATGGCAGACCGAGATGGTCTACGTGGCTATAGGCCTAGGTACATGAAATACTCCTGGATATGGGAGCGTGAGGACGAGGGAGGCACTGTAGTGGAGGCCATACTGTTTTATGGTAAGCCTGAAGGGGAGGTAAGGCTAAAGGTTAATGTCTGTGGCCATTGGGAACAGGAGATTAGGAGAGACGAGGAGCTGCAGGCGGCTATTACTGAGGTGCGCTACAGGGCCGAGCGGAGATGCAGGCGAGACGGGGTGACTGCGAGTATGCGAGTGACGGTCACCTACTATGAGGATGACTCGTCGACGGGGACTACAACCAGAGAGGTGCAGCACAACGAAAGGGACTCAGAGGGGGAGTCCGAAATGAGTGACAGTGAGGCGGATGTCCAGCCCTGGCATGGGCTGGATCAGATCCGCCGAAACCACCCGTTGGCAGGCCCAGTGGAGCGCGGGCCCGAAGCTATTTTACGGCAGCGAGGGTCCTGAGGCCAGTACAGCTCCGCGGAGGGATGAAGACAGAGGCAGTTACACGAGAGGAGGAGAGTACAGAAGGGGGGCACGAGACTAAACCCGCGGCGGGGGCACGCATACACGCGCGACAAGTGGACGTCCCGTGGGTGTGTGTGGAGAGAGAGGGTCAAAGAGCGGGCAGTGTTGGTTGACGTCATCGGTGTTGGCAGGTCGCAGGGATAGCATGTGTAGCTTTCCTGTTTGGGGTCGGACAAGCGTGATGGTATTTGGGCGATGCCCGTGAAGAGGAGCATGAGAGAGCAACGACTAAGTTGATGTCAGCCCCCCCCATTTTCCTCGTGTCACGACGTTGCTGACAGAGTGGGGCCTGTGCGAGGGCAGCCAGTGCATTTCGGGGTACTGACAGCGACTGCATCGTGCGAGCCGCGGTGGTGGTACGTATCTACTCAAGTGGGGAGAACACATGAGAGCCACGACTGTGACACGTATCTACTCGAGTGAGGAGAATGTATGAGAAGAGAGGGCGTCGACTTAGTTGACACGTATGGGAGTCGTGCGCGCAGGGTGAAGTCTGAGTTGGAGTCCAACTTTCTGTGTGTACGCGCTGTGCCAGTGAGAAAAGCATTTGGCCTTCGCTGTTGACGTCAACAGTCTTGCATGAGCATGATCTGACTATGACTTGAACTGAGTTGACCTTCTCGTACTTGGATGACTGAATGTGGACTTTGTTCTGTTGGTTATGGTCGTTGATGGTACGCCCGGATTCTGGCTTGTTGTGTCCGAGTACGATGGTTAGAGTGAGGCTTTATGGCGTGGAAACGAGACATTACGATGGCAGCAGACTTTACTCGATGGGCCACAGCTTGTGACAGTAACAAGGCCGAAGTCGAGTCGCAGAAATGAGTATTGAATGATCATGAACCCTGTTGTTGCTCGGCGAGTGGAATGACATTGACATGCTTTATTGTAGAAGAATACCCTCTCATGGTAGCTGACATCATCAGCTCGGTTCCGTCTGGTCTCTTGTTCACCCCTCTCCTCTCTCGTCAGATCATAGCATTGAGCACCTATAAGGCATGAGCGCAAAACTAGTCTTCGAGTCCGAAAGTATGGTGAATGTCATTCTCGCCTTTGCCTTAGTTGTCGGCGAGAGCTAATCTTGGGGCCGTTGAACGTGATTGGGTTATAACTCGTGAGTGTGTTTTCCCCTCGTGTAAACCGGTGAGACGTGCTGCGAATGGCTCACGACCCATCCAACGCGTAGAAGACTGACAGCCGTCTCAGTGACAATTGCCGTGTTCAGAGCAGGGTGGTGTGAAGAGGAACTCGCACGTGCACTATCAATAGCCAGGTTAGTAACGACGACGAGAGACATTAGTCAGTCGGCTGAGCATGAAGCTAGCCTTTGACTCGTCGGCCTCCTATGGCTACTAAGGCCGTTGTCTGTCCCTGACTCCAAGAGGATCGAGTATGTGACTCTGACGATGTGTGCTTGAGACTAGGCTTGAGGCAGAGAATCGTATACACTAGCTCGCGACTCTCTGATGGTCACAGCCATGGTGAGTAACAGTCAAAAAGATCGGTAGGGAGGGAGAGAGGCCAAAAAGCCTTGACGGAATGGGTGTAAATGGTGCAAACGTGTCTTGCTCATTGGCTCTAAGTCAGTAGAACTCGTCATCCCCGAACTGGCAGCAGCTGATCATGGTGATAT